GTTTTTTTTTTTTTTTTTTTTTTTTTTTTTTTTTTTTTTGGGCCATTTGAGTCATGTATGGTACCGATCAATAAAGAGACTTTTTGGTTTGAGAGTGTCTTGGTTGGTCATTGATGCCTATAATGACTCAGTCCAAGGCAGTCTTTTTCTCCTCCTTCCTGCAGTCCCTAACACCAGCGGTATGAATTGGGCTTGTGAATTCCCCCTCACTCCCATCTCACATTTCCCCTCACTCTTCTGGTGGTGGTCTTGATGTGTCCCAGGCTGCCCTGTATTCCTCAAAAGTTGACTTCCCAGCCCCTCCCAGGACTGTTGTTCCTCACCCCTAACTGTCATGGGGCTGCCAGACAGGTGGTGATCCTCTGCAGGCTGGGTTCCTGGGATAGGTAGACCTGGATTAAGCTGTTGGGGGAGGGGTGGAGGAAGGGGTCCTTGCCTAGGAGGGGGCTTGGATTGGAGGAGCTTTGGGCAGTTAGAATTCTTGGGATACTCAGTCCTGTTTTTGTCAGATTCCTACCCCTACTTGGCCTCTAGCTTACCAGCCCAGCTGAGATCTGAACTAGTCTCCTCTGGTGTTAGGTCCCTGGGTGGGGAAGCGGGAGAGTAGTGGGGTTGTCTCCTTGCTGACTTTGGGCTGAGGCACAGAGAGAGGAGGATGCTTAAGCAGTATTGCTAGGGCACAGCCTGAAGCTCCACAGAGAGATGGTAGAGGAATAGGGCACTTTTCAGACTCCTTTCTAGGTATTCTCCCTGATTCCCCTTCTTCCCCACTATTATAGAAGATTGGCAAGATAGGGAGATACTGCAGTGGGTTGGGGAGGGGTATTAGCACCTGCAAAAACCCCTACCCAGTCTCCCTCATTTTCTTTTTTTCTTTTCTTTTTTTTGGTTGTGCCGCACATCTTTCAGGATCTTAGTTCCCTGACCAGGGATTGAACCCGGGTCACAGCAGTAAAAGTGTCAGGGAATTCCAAGTCTCCCTCATTTTCATCCCAGACAGGGGGATCTGAGGCCTCAGACTGTTCCCTCACTAAGGTCTCTGGATCTCAAGTAAGGCCTCATAGACCTGCACCTCTGCCCCCACCTCCCAAGCTGGCAGGAAGAAACCAGAGGAAAGGACTGCATGGCCCACCCCACACCCTTTCCAGTCCATGCAGTTACCTCGGTCCTGCCCTGCTGCCAGCCCAGCTCCTCGTTTCTCCAGGACCTCAGAACTCCAAGGCCTGCATTTGTACACACACACATATCCCACCCCTCTGCAGGCCTGATCTGACTGAAGGACATTTACCAGCCAGCTGTGACCACTAATTCGCCCTAGAAGTCCTAGGTAACACCTATCTGCAGTGTGTTTGTGTCTGGCGCTAGGTGTACATCTGACCTTTTTGCCTGAGTGTGAGCTTGTGTATGTAGTAACTTCTGACCTCAGAGAGGGCTTGGATATGTGTATATAAGAGACATATACATGTAGTAATAGGCATGTGGGCTTGTATATGCATTTGTTTATGATGTATGTCTTGGTGGATTCATTCATTCAGCTAATAGTCATTGACCCTTCTCCAGGTGCCAGCCCCAATTCCATGTGCTAGGGATGCGGTGCTGAACAAGGCAGAGGAGGCATGACCACTGGGTGTGAGTTGGCAGCGAAAAGTACATAAATGAGGATGTGTTGTTGAATGCATGGCTTGGCAGTACGATTGTGTTGGGTTATGGGGCTGCCAGGGTGGGCATGTGACTGGGTTTCAGCATTTGCAGGTTCACATTGTGTGTGTGTGTATGTTTCTGAAAGGGAGGTGGGGGTCCAGGGAAGAGGTAGATTGCTAGGCCTGGACTCTGCCCTGCTAGGCCTGGACTCTGCCCTGGGGGAAATGAATGGGCCAGAGAGACAGGGGAACCCACTTTTTGAACTCAGGAAACCTGGTGGCCAGTGACTTCCTCTGAAGCCCCAGATCTGGCTCCTCCCTGTTTGCCCCAGTGGCCCCTTTGGGGAAGGCCCTTGTTCAGGAGGAATTGCTGGGGTGGGGGAAGTAAACCCTTCAAAGCCCTCATGTCCTCCGTTTTCGGGTGCAGGGGAGGGCCCAGTCCCAGGCCCAGCATAATGCTGAAAAACTTGTTTCCGCCCAACTGTGTATGCCAGCCGGGCCCCACTGCAGAGGTCTAGGCCTTGACCCCCAGGCCCCCAGCTCATCCTGAACCCAGCTCCTTCCCCATGTTTCCTAATCCAGTCCAATCTAGCCTGGTCTCTAGCCCCTTTCTTAGGACTGCTAGTCTAGTTCAGCACAATCTCCAGCCCCTTTTATACCAGTAGCCCAGTCCAGCCTGACCTCTAACCCCTTTCCTAAAGGTAAGAGGCCAGCCTAGCCCAGTTCAGTCTGACCTTAAGCCCCTTCCCCTAAGGTGGAAAGTTTGAAGCTGCCCTCCCAGAGCTTCCCCCCAATCCCTTTTTTCACAAAGTAGGGTCTCATTTTTGGGATTGGTAGAAGTAGAGGTGAGAGTACAGGATTAGGAGCTATAGTTAGGATGAAGAAGGAAAGTGCAGGGAAGACTGGGAGATGAGGGGCAGGGGGTGCTTAGGATGGCCCAGGCGTGTCCTGGGCCAGGCTGAAAAGAGGGAATGTGTAAAAAGTTGTGAGTCAGTGGCCCTGTAGTTCCAAACGGAATTTTTTTTTTAATTAATTTATTTTTGGCTACGTTGGGTCTTCGTTGCTGTGTGCGGGCTTTCTCTAGTTGTGGCGAACGGGGGCTACTCTCGGTTGTGGTGCGTGGGCTTCTCATTGCGGTGGCTTCTCTTGTTGTGGAGCATGGGGTCTCGGCGCACCTGCTTCAGTAGTTGTGGCTCGTGGGCTCTAGAGTGCAGGCTCAGTAGTTGTAGCACACGGGCCCAGCTGTTCCGCGGCATGTGGGATCTTCCCGGACCAGGGCTCGAACCCGTGTCCCCTGCATTGGCAGGCAGATTCTTAACCACTGCGTCACCAGGGAAGTCCCCAAACTGAAGTTTGAAGATGGTGGTTTTGACCTCCACTGGACCCAGCTCTCCAGTACCCAGAATGCTTACAACACTCTACCATGTGGCCACAGTCCCATTCTCTCAGGACCCACCTCTTAGGCTTCTTTCCACTCCGTCCGGAGGTCTTCAATGAAGAACAGGAAATGAGCGACAGACTACACACCCTGTAGTTCTTAGCCTAGGGAATGGGGGGAGCTGAATGGTAATGGAAGCTGACCCACCTCCAGGTTCCTACTCCACCAATTCCAGGGCGTTTTTCCTGAAGTAGCTAAACCCTGGATTACTCCTCTCCCTGCTGCCCCACCTCTGTGCCACCAGCTCACCTCTCCAGGAGGAGAACCTAGAGAAAAGTCCCAGAGAGGGTTGGGAAGGAAGAAACTTTTCCCCCTCTCCCCCAAACAAATAAGGCTACCTGGAGGAAGTAGGCATAATTTCTCTCCCTTGCTGTTAATGGATGTCAGGTGCACAGAGTTAATCATACCCTTGTTTCATGGCACACTCTTTTCATTTCCTTGTGCACAGGACACATTTATTTAATTATAGTACTGTCATAAGAACTTATCACATGAAAGCTAGGACCTTGGCAATAACTGAAATGCATCCTCCTCCCGAGGTATCCACCATTCTTTTTTCCTTTTTATAAGTTTATCTTAGCTTTAGCTTTATGTATTTCCAATTTTTTTTTTTTAGTTTTTTTTAACCTTATTATAGAGGAATACTGCTGTATGTAGTTTTTGGATGTTTATTATTTTTACTTAACATTACTAAGATTCATATTGCTGCAGTTCATGCATTTTGAGGGCTGTGTAGTATTCCACTATGTGACTATACCACAGGTCTTCATTCTCCTGTCACTGGACATCTGGGTTGTTTCTCTCA